GTTTAGCCCATGTGGTGCGCGCTTTCGCTGCGCACCCCCCACTATTTTTATTTTATTTTTTTATTTTTTTTTTTTTGCGGGGGGGTCTGGAGCCGGGGTTGGGGGTGCCCACCCCCGGAACCCCGGAACCCCGCCGGGGCCCCGGGGCTGGGGCTCGACAACCCTGCCGAAAACCATGAAAACAACCCTTATGGCCATCTGTTCAAAATACAAAAAAATCATGAAGTGTCCCGAAGTGATTTCATGGACTTCGGGACGTTCATCACTTCGGGATGCTTCATGATTTTTAGGTAGCTTGAACAGATGGTCATAAGGGTTGCTTTCATGATCTTCGGAACGTTCATCACTTCGGGATGCTTCATGATTTTCGGGGAGCTAGAACCGACGGTCATAAGGGTTGCTTTCATGGTCTTCGAGATGTTCATCACTTCGGGTTGCTTCATGATTTTCGGGTAGCTGGAAGAGATGACCATAAGGGTTTCTTTCATGATCTTTGTGACGTTCATCACTTCGGGATGCTTCACGATTTTCAGGTAGCTTGAACAGATAGTCATAAAGATTGCTTGCATGGTCTTCAGGACGTTCGTCACCTCAGGATGCTTCATGATTTTCGGGTAGCTTCGGGATGCCATAAGGGTTGCTACCTGAAAATTATGAAGCATCTCGAAGTGATGAACGTCCCGAAGACCATGAAACCAACCCTTATGGCCATCTGTTCAAAATACCAAAAATCATGAAGCGTCCCGAAGTGATGAACGTCTCGAAGCCCATGAAAGTAATCCTTATGACCATTTGTTCAAATACCCGAAAACCATGAAGCATCCCGAAGTGATGAACGTCCCGAAGTGATGAACGTCCCGAAGACCATGAAAGCAACTCTTGTGGCCACTGTTCAAGCTACTTCGGGATGCTTCATGATTTTCGAGTAGCTTAATACACATGTGTTTCAAGATCGTGTTTGATATGAAAAGTTAAAAACTTAGTTTACAATGTGGTTTCACCATGAACTATCTAACCCTCCTCTCGATTTCATGATTGAGAAACTATTTTCAGGATGCAAAAAACATCATCATTTTTTCCACTTCACAGTTTTCATCTGCGAATTTTCAAGTGTGCGATAACCGCTTATGGTGTTTTCGAGCCAGTCCGGCCCACCTTCTCCCACCAGCTGCTTGAGTATCCTTATCAGCAACTTCCTGAGCGAGCAGGCTTCCATCACCCTGCTGGTGTATCTCATGTGAAAGAACTTGGTATTTTCACGCTCGTCCTTCTTCCAGACCCTCCTCCCTGCTGGAGTTAGGGCGAACATCCCTACTTGATTGGGATTGTCGTTCGTGTTCTGCAGAGTACAAGAAGGAGACACGCGGAAGGGGTTTTTTGGGTTTCCCGCAGCGTGGTGTTGAAAAAAGGAAAGACGAAAGAAAAAAAAAAAAAAAAAAAAAAAAAAAAAAAAAAAAAAAAAAAAAAAAAACGTGACTGCGTTGTGGTTCATACTCATATGCGCCTTTTGATTCTCTTGCCACGTTTCCCCGACGTTGATCCCGCATTTTTTCTCTTCTTGCTTGGGTGCGTGATTTCGGATCTAGCTGATTCCTCCGGTGAGATGTTGATCCGGAAGAGTTGTTCTACCAAGTGTGTTTTAGTCCCGAGGACCGGGGTTTGCAGAACAGGCGGTTGAGCCGCTGCTATGGGCTGCTCCCATACGATCGGCGCAGGATTTGGTGTTGGGTTGTGCTGCAGTGGTGGCGATGGCGGTGGTGGTGGTGGCGGTGGTGGTGGCGGTGGTGGTGGCGGTGCTTGGCCTTGTTGCCCTACCTACTGCTGCGGAGCGTGCCGCTGCTCTTGCATTACGTTTTGCTCTCTTCCTGCCGCGAAGTTTAGCATTATTTGCCCCGACATTGCTACCTGAACTCTCCTTCTCCGTTGAGCGATGGTATGTGGTGAGTTGGGTGTCACTCTTTTGCGCCGTGCTGGAATCCTGGTGAGGAGTAAGATTCTGCCGAGCGCAGGGGCCAGCGGGTACTCCTATAACCTGTCGTCTCGAATGACCGCCTCAGCATCTCTATCTGGCTGTTCCTCCAGGCTGGCCACCATCTCCATCATCGTACTTCTGATAAAGATGAATGTGACACTTGCCAGTACTGCGGGTTTCCAGGTTGTTTTAAGATAGTGCTTTAGCATTAAGGTTATGAGTTTAATGGATGACATGTTGGGAAAAAGGACGTCTGGGTGCACCAGCACGTACCATAATGCTTGGTCGAACCACAGGGGACCGCCACCGCAGTCCTTTTCAGCATCCACCCTACACTTACATTTTAGGTACGGTCTTCCTACACTCAAAATTTTCCTGAGGCATCTCAGTTCGAGGCTCGCTGCTTGCCTCATGACTTTCTGCTAGAGGACGACATTGGAACCTCCGCATTTTTCCGGATCGATATGGGATAATGGAGGAAATTTTAGATCAGCTGGCTCGAGTGGTTTGTTCCCTTTGCCACAAAATTTCATGCTGATCTTCATTGCTGCGATTTTACATGCTTCGATTTCCGCATCCGTTAGATTGGCCAGAAACTTGAATGCTTTAATAGAGATTGGTGCCCAGTGATTAAAGTTGTCTATTTTCCAGATGGCGTGATTAAATCCCGTGCTTGTGTGCTCGACCCAGTATGCTGAGGCTAGTGGTGTAAAGGCTGTGTACTTATCTATTTTAGATGTTGCGTTATCCGCGGGTTTTTGTGAGGAGGATTGAACAGCGGCTGCGATGGCTGCGATAGCCATCTCCATTTCTGCCCTTTCTTCCTCGTAAAGATCCAGTGCTATGTATGCAGGGGTTGGGTGGGGGCATCGGTTTGAGGGATTCTACCTTCCAAATGGAAGTCCTCCAGTCCCCAAATATTGAGAATCATTTTTTCAACCGTGGCTACTTTCCCTGGTAACGTTGCGCATTCATTGGTGTAGTCTCGCTTCTTTCCTTCCAGTTTCCCACACAGTGCATCCAATTTTTTTTTAAATGATGGTTTGTCATGGTCCCAGATTCCCGCGAGTATGGCTAGCTCACTAAATCCTACCATCTCGAAAAAATGCGGAAACAACCCTGATTCACATTTCTGCCTTATGCCAGCCATGAAGTCTGCATTCATACAGGTGATGAGCGCTTGCGCAGGTTTGCTCGGCCATGCACAGTCTTTCAGCCATTGGAACTTCCCTGTGATCTCTGTCCACCAACCGCCTGGGGTTGCTTCCTTTGGAGAGGGCTGCACAACACAAGACAATAAACACAAGGAGGGTTTTTTCGTGGGGGTAAGAGAGAGGGAAAGAGAGGATTTATCCATGCAGGGAACAGTAGGGAGGTGGGTGACAGGGGGGCAGACATACAGAGGGAGGATAGACGGGAGAGGAATAAGCGATTTTCCTTCTGAGTTAATCCATCGTTCACTTGCTTATTTTCTACCTCTTTATTTTGGCTATACTCATGCTGCTTTTGTCCTTCGCGGATTCTGCACATGCCTGGTTCTAACCTTCGTTGAGGCGGGTCATGCCCAATCCGTGTGTGTTTCGTAGTGTGTGCCAAGGCACTTGATAGTACGTACCACATACCATATGGGCTCCAACATACTTCGTTGGCAGATCTCGGGTGATTTAACCATTAGGGCAGGAGCAGCGTAAACAGGCAACTTGACCGAACATGTTTCCAGTGATCCTCATAGGATGATACTTGCAGACTTACTGCTCAGCCGCAGAGGTACATACCTCCTAGCATGTGACCATTCGACCCTTAGGATTCGCGGCGGGGGAGTGTCTGAAGTACTTTTCTTTTTTCACACATGATCATACAATCCTGAGTTTTGCACTCTGCTTCTTTTTTAATTATCAGATCATTAAATATAGATTATGACTGCAATTCTGATGAGATTACTTTTATATGGTTATCTATAGCCGACTGTTACTCATGCATCTTGATCGTCAAATGTTTCCCTTAATACGTGTTGCAGGCGCTTGTATTTTTGGAAAGTGATTTTCGGGTCCAGGGTATGATCAACTTTGCCATAAGACAGATAATAGGCGCCATGATTGATTTTCATTGTAATTTCATCATTATCGTGTGCATATTAGTGCTTCTGACCCAAGGTGGTTATAGAACCTTTGCTCCTTATAATTATCAATGGACTGTCGATTACCACTGGTTTATACATTCCCTGGTGGTTAGATTCCTCGTAATTCTTTTGAGTGCGCGCAATAAGGGCTAATGGTTACGATGTCTAACAGCAGCTAGAGTGTATTAAGCATGCTTCGGGTATTGACGCTATTTTTACTTATTGTTCCCTACTCTAGAAGTGGGAGCAAGAAACCGAAGCTAAGCTGATTATGTATTCCTATGTCATTTTTCTTATCTCTATACGATTTCTATTGCTTGTGGTTTTTACCCATCGATTGGGGCGTGTAAAGATTAGTGTTGCAAATCATTAGTTTTTTACGTATCCAATGCGCTGATTATTCTTCAAAAAGGCAGAGGCGCTTGCGCGTGGTAATGGTTAAACTCCGAGTGGCTATATAGCATATTAATCCGATATTCAGGAAATGCTCTCACCTAGGACTGGCTTATGAAAGCAAAAACCATGCATTCTAATGATGCATCATTCTTGATCCAGGATCATCAGCCGATCGGGGTGCACAAATACGAGTGTTGTAAATCACTAGTGATTTACACGTCCCGGTTTGCAGATAACCCAGAAGGTTCATTCAACGATGAAGATGTTTGAGTTGATGTTAGTAACTGGATAAATTTCTGCGAGAATTCGACTCGATTTATTGAGGACAGCATCAAGACAGACTCAAATTCTAAGGAATTACATAGTGGCTGATCATGCATCTTATTGCTCTAATACTCCTAATTTTGGGATTTATTGGTTGCCCGGGGTGCGCAGTTATGAGCGATGGAAATCAACAGTAACCTATGCACCCTGGTTCTTAATCGGGCTTACGTAAATATTAATGATGGTAATCACTTGCTGATTATTCTCATGAGTCAGAGGTGCGGTCAGTGATCCATATTATATTTATTCATAATCCAGGGGTCGAAGATAGGTTTCGAAGGATTACTTCCTCACATGATTTTTCTAGGAATGCATGCGAGAAACTGAAGCAGACAAACAACATGATCGTTGATTACACATTCCTCCGATTTCTACATAATTTCTTCGATCCAGGTTTCACCAGTCGATCGGGGTGCGAAAACAACGAGTGATGCGAATCGCTTAGTTATTTCCGCATCTTGGTTCGTTGATTATTCCTAAAACAGGTAGAGGTATCGATCTGCGTGGTTACATCATCATTAGTAGTCATGTATAACATACTCATGAGAGATCCGGACACTGTTTTTATTGAAGACTAACTCTACTGGAAGCAAAACATTCAAGGCGACTGCCTACGTATTCCAATGATGCGTCATTCTAGGTTCAGGATTATCAGCGGATCGGGGTGCGTAAATACGAGTGATGCATATCACTGGTGATTTATGTACCCTGGTTCGTTGATTATTCCATACTATACAAGCCCAAATATTCGTAGAGACAGCACCCAGTCATATTCACTGATGATCATACTAGGACAAGACTTCCCTTAAAGAGATATTACGCAAAATTGAGAACTGACCATGCATCCCATTGAGCTATCATTCCTTTATTTGGGATTATCCGCTGATCGGGGTGCGTTAAATCGCTCAGAAATTTACGTATCCCGATGTGCTGATAATTTCATGGGGGATAGGTATCAAAACGTAGGAAAATACACGTAAAAAGGTTACCAAAGACATCCATGCGGGATTTCAAATGATGTTTTACCAAAAACAAAAACAACCAGAACATTCATTGCAACACGCGACTCCACCCTTACAAAGCAATGATACTCGCCACTTTCTTTATTCTCCATAGATCGATCCGCTCCAGTTCAAAAGTCACCACGACTGCCGCCACCCGCTAAGATGAGAGAGGGACTGTTTTTAAGGGGAGAGAGGGGGGGTAAAAAAAAGAGAGGGAAAAAAAAAGAGAGAGGGAAAAAAAGAGGGGGGTGCTTAGAACGGGGAAAGAGAGGGGGGAAAAAAGATTTATCTCGTATCAGGTCATACACCTCCAGACACTCCATTTCGACACCCGAGGGCACGTTGGATTCAACTGACCGATCCGCGGGAAGGGAGTGGCTATCCCTAAAGCGCTTTTCTGCTCTGGCCACACGGAGCGTCGTCAGAGGGAGTATCTTCCATGATCTTTGAAAGGAGAGGCGAAATGGAGAGAGGAGAGAGGGGAGCGGTGAAGAGGAGGGGATGAGGGGTCATGGGAGACTGACGACTGGGGGACTGCAGATGCGGGAGAACATGGGGTGATAGGTGGGGTAGTGGTGAGTGGGGGGATCCGCAGTGCCAGGATGAACAGAAGCAACGCCAATAGTGCCAAAAAAGCTAGGAAGGCGGGAAAGCTACAGGTCGCTCACTCCATAACTCCCTGTTTGTCAACCTCCTTCATAATCCTAGTGCTACTTCTATCGCTGCTACTGCTATCCTAGTTCCGACAGCAATGCAGCAGAGCGCGAGCGAGAGCGTAAGTGCAGCGAAGAGGATTGCGAATGTCGTGATCCCGCATGAAACTCTGGCCGGCTTCAGCCAGACAAATCCTTCCTTGCTAAGCCACACTGCTGCAGCCGCTATGAGAATATTTGGGATAAGTGCTAGCAGAAAGACTGCAACGAGATAGAAGCAAATGAGCAGCGATAGTGGTGCTTGTGTGGCGGCTGCGGCGATGCAAGTATTCATTGCTAGATTTCTCGCCTCACTATGTGTCCTGCTGCGACGTGCGATCCGTGTTGCGATCAAGGAAGAAGAGGAGAAAAACATTATACCACTTCCTTGTTATCCCCTTGCTCCTTTAGTTGGTCGAGGTCGATTTCGACATCCATCGTGGCGAAAACAGGGCTGCTCCGGCTTGCTCCTTCCGTACATAGCTTAATGCAAACTTGCGCACCGCTTTGCTCTCACTGGGTACGTCCGCTTGCCTTGCTGATTCTTACCCCTACTGTTCCTTCTTTTTATTTGTGCGAAGTTCGCCCCCTGCCTCGTTATTTCCCGAGGTGGGAAATTCAAAGTTTGCTTCGCTCGCTTTCTGGGTCATGACCCACTTGGCGCGGCTTTCTTCCAGAAGCAACTAGGGGATTTGAACTGAAGTATTCTTTCAGCAATCTCAAATGTTCGTATCATTAGTAGTTACTTGGTTCTATTCATTCATCGAAAATCCGTCTGCGTGGTTCGTGCGTCTTTTCCACTTCTTTCTCGCGTGCGTTGTTTTCAAGGGTTTGATTCCCGCTTGGCTTGCTTGTTGTTTTGTCGTTATTAGGCCTTTTTGGCTTCCGTCTGAAGTTCTTCAGAAAACAGGAAGCGTAAAAAGGAGTCAAAAAAGGAGAAGAAAAACAGAAGGGATAAAAAAAAGGGGAGGAAAAAAGAAAGAAAAAAAGAAAAAGCAAAAGAAAAAGGAAAAGCAGAGAAGACGAGAAGAAGAGTGGAGAGAAAAAAAAGAAAAGGGAGAAAGACATAAGAAAAGAGAAAAAGTTAAAAGAAAGGAGAAAAAGACAAAAAAAAAAGGGAAAAAATAAAAAAAAGAAAAAAAACAGAAAAAAAAGGAAAAAAAAGAAGAAAAAAGAACAAAAGAACAAAAGAAAAAAGAAAGAAAAAAAGAAAAAAGAAAAGAAAAAAAAAAAAGAAAGAAAGGAAAAAAGGAAAGAAGAAAGAAAGAAGAAGACAAAAAGGAAGAAGAAGAAAATAGAAAAGAAAAGAAAAGAAAAGAAAAAGAAAAAAACACTCCTAGGGCAACGTTGTTGCGGACGCGGGTTCGAGCATGGGTGTAGGGGGACTTATTTACGCTTGTCGCAAATTAACCGCCGTGCCTTCCTTGGAGGTTCTCCCGGGTTGCTTTCGTACCTTTATTTTTTTCGTTTTTCCTTCTCCTTCTTCTCCTTCCCTCTTCCCTTGTTTCTGCATGTGTGTGTGTGTGTGCGTGTGTGTGTGTGTGTGTGTGTGTGTGTGCGTGCACGTGTGTGCGCGCGTGTGTGTGTGTG